TACCAGGAAGGGGACCAGCTGACCTTCCACTCTTGCTGTTTAGGCTTGTAGGTTTTGACTGTGTTTTGGGGCACCGTACCCTCCAGGTTTAGGAGATAATATTCCATTGCCTCGCGTATGCGAGCATCCTCAATTGCAGTGGCCGCCATAGTCATCGGGCGAGAAAGGAATGATTAGGGGTTTGTCCTAGGGTGGTAACCGTGGACAGCAGTGGTGTTTGAGTGCCGATGCTCTCTGCGCTGCGTAACGTTAGTTCTCGCCGTCGTCGCGTCTTTGGAAGGTCTGCGCACGTAAAGTCTAGTCACGTGGCCTTCTACTTCGCCATTGCTTTCTGCGGGCCGCGCGCGTTTTGTATTGGGTTTTCCACGAGAAATCGAACGCCCACCAAGACAAATGACCTTCAAGCTCGGAGCCAAATTTGGCGGGGAAAATGGAGGACCCACCGGTTTTTGGCGGACCGAAAACCGGGTTTTTTGGACGCTCGGACCTGTCATACCAGGTACTAGTACATGCCAAAGTCAAGGACAATTCATTCTGTGCCTTGTAAATACAAGAAGGCCGAGTCGAAACTCCCCCGGCCCCAACTTGGCATCAAATATGTTTGGATACCGACTCTCCCTGTTGAACTGAGTGGGTTCCTTGGCACCAAGATTCACGGACTGAGCACTGATGTTCAATGCGAGACTCTCAGTCAACACACAGATCCATCACAATGACGCAGTTCCTGACATAAACGTCATATCATGGCACACTGTCTCTATAAAAGGGGGTAATTCCCCTGGGAGGATTAGAGAGGACAATTTGTTCCAAAAAAAAAGGGACATTCTGAGGCACCCTAACCCACTATCTTGATCCTTCATTTGTGTGGTCACTCTGGAATCGTGACTCCAATTCAAGCTTCATTTCATACGTCAATCTGTTCAATACCACTTGGTTGATCTAAGCTTACTCGAGCATGTAACTGTTGGCTGCCCAACACTCCCCATCCAACAATGCTTTGCACCTCTCGTCTCACCCCAAACTATCGGGCGAATGTTGCGCCGGGGGTGGAGGTGATGGTGATGTAGGTAGTGATGTACGTCGTGCGGAGGGAGCGGGTCGTGGGGGTCGACACGGTTGCATTTGGGTTTCCGTCTGTAGTTGGCCAGGAAGCGATGCTGGTACCGTTGGTGGTCGTCGTCTCGGGGGCGGGTTCGATCTCGGTGATGGACACGGTGCTGGTCGAGAGCACGTCGCAAGCGGGGATGAGTTCGGTGATGGAGACGGTCGAGGTGCGCAGGAGGGTGCAGGACCCGACGGTCGTGGACGCCGTGCCGCTAGCGGAACAGCCGGAGGAGATCACGCTGGTGAGGGTCGTGCAGGAGGAGGGGAAACCAGCGGCACACGAGACGGCGAAGCTGGTTACCGTCGCGGCGGAGCAGCTGGTTGTGGTGGTGGTCGCTTCGTCGGTGGCGTGGCAGCCGAGGACGGGTATGCATGTGGAGATGAACTGAGTTGTTGACGGGACGACGGACTGGGTTTCGACACAGACCTCGGCCGTTTCGGTCTTGCAGTTGGTGGGCTTGGAAGAGTACGTGGGCTGGCCGTTGTGGCCGACGGTGATGGCGGGCCACGACGGCAGGCTGCCCTTGAAACCGATGCCCGGCGGGAGGCTGATCTTGGGGAGGGGAGGCGGGCCGCTGTTGGCAATATGTCAGTGCCGGTTCAGGGCCGGATGTCAAAGACTCAGGGGATCAACTTACGGTGGGAAGATTCCCGGGGGCAGGTTGAAGTTCCACGCCTCAATCTCGATATTGAACTCGGGAATTTCGATGCAGACCTGACAAATTGGTGAGCGCAGTACTACGACGCGACGGGGTATTGCTTACCGGAAAGAACCAGAGCATAAAGCATTTCTTGCCGGTTTTCTTGTCGTCGCCGTCGTCGTCAGGATCTTCAGGATCATCGACCTTGTCACCACGAAGAGGAAACAGGAAGAGGCCACCCGGAAAACCCGAGAACGTGGGTAGTGGGCCACCGACAACGGACGTCGTGCTGCTGCTGGTAGTGATGGCACCTGGAGCAGTCCATGTGAAGATCCCTCCGCCCGTCGTGACCGTGGTTGTCCCAGACAGCGTGATCGGCGAACCCGTCCCGATCTGGACCACGCTTCCACTGGACACCATCGTCTCCCCGTTTGGAAGCATGGTGGTGAAGATGCCCGTCGCGCCTCGTGCGGTTGTAGAGAAAGTACTTGTAGGGGGGAACAGCGTAAAGACCCCGCCCCCAGTTGAGATAGTGGTAGGGGCAGTGACAGTAGGAAGAGTGATGGGTGCGTTGGTGCCGATCTGCACAATGCCCGAGCTGGAGACGACGGTTTCCCCGTTCGACAGGGTCCACGTCGTGGCACCGGCCTGGCTCTGTGTCGGCGTGGTGGTGGGAGCTGGTGATAGGGTAAACGTCTCTCCGTCCGTTATAAGGGTGGTAAGAGACGAGACGGACGGCAATGTGAAAGGCGGTTTGGTGCCGATTTGTACGACTCCGGAGCTGGAGATAACGGTTTGCCCGTCCGAACGGGTCCAGGTGGTAACGCTGGCCTGGCTTTGAGAGGGAACAGCGGTCGGCGACAGCGTAAACGTCTCGCCGCCGGTGGTAACGGTGGTCAGAGACGAGACCGACGGAAATGTGATGGGGGCATTGGTGCCGATCTGAATGATTCCGGAATTGGATACGACGGTCTGCCCGTCGGATCTGGTCCAAGTAGTGGCGCTGCCCTGGCTTTGGGTGGAAGGTGACAGCGTAAACGTCTTCCCATCCGTTGTAAGGGTGGTGAGAGACGAGACCGATGGGAGCGTAATGGGTGGGCTGGTGCCAATCTGAATAACTCCAGAGCTAGAGATGACGGTTTGCCCGTCGGACCGGGTCCAGGTTGTCACTCCGCTGGCTTGAGTTTGTGCCGTCGTCGTGATGGGCGACAGCGTAAACGTCTCTCCACCAGTTGTGATGGTGGTGAGACTCGAGACTGACGGCAACGTGATGGGTGCGTTGGTGCCGATCTGGACTATCCCAGAACTGGAGATAACAGTCTGGCCATCTGATCGAGTCCACATTGTTGCACCGCCGCCGGCACCTGTGCTGCCGCCCGTGGAACCCATTGGGGCGGGAGACAGGGTGAAGGTTTCTCCCCCTGTTGTAAGCGTCGTCAAGGACGAAACTGTAGGAAGGGTGATGGGAGGACTTGTTCCAATCTGGATGATGCCAGAACTCGAGATTACTGTCTGACCGTCGGACCTCGTCCATGTCGTAGGAGATACATCATCTCCAGGCTGGCTTCCCGAGGTGGAGGGGGTTCCGAAGGTGAAGGTGTAGCCATCTGTCGTCACAGTGGTGTCCTCCATCGGGACAGGAACCGTTTTCGTGCCACCGATGATGATGGCAGAGTGACTCGACACGAACGTCTCGCCCTTCGAGTTTACCCAAGTGCTGGCGCTGGTGGTCGACCTACTAGTCGGTCGTTCCGTAGAGCCGCTGATGTCAGCCCAAAGTTTCGTCGAAGTCTATCCCGACCCGGACGTGGCGTGGGTGACGTCGGAGGGGCACGGCTTGAACGATGTAAGAGTAACAGTCTTGGTCCTGGTTCGTATCTGAGTGACCACGATTTGCGACGTGAGGGTCGAGATTAGCGTGCTCCCAGGCCTGCTAGTGTTGGGTCCGGGCACGGAGTCACAGCCGCCGACGGCGTTGCATACTGTCCCAGCAGGGCAGCAGCCGTACATGCAGCAAGTGGTCCCTTTCAAAGTCAGTACTTGTCTCTCTCGGGGTCTCCCATAAAAGCCTATTGGAACTAAGCAGATGCTCACCACTTCCGCACAGATGGTGTTGGCCGTCAGGGGTTGGACAGCAAGTGTCGTCGTACTCATCAGAACCGCACCGGTCTTGGCACCAGTACTCGCCTGGCTCACAACGGGGGTCAGAATGAAGAAGGACGGCTTTGGTGACCGTGAAGAGGGCATAGAGCCACAAGATGGTGGCCCGCAAAGGGAGCGGCATGCTGAGAGTTGGGAAGTTGGGGCAAGGAGATGACGGAGATGCCACTGCAAGGTGCCGGTGATTCTGCGAGGAGCACGTCCGGTGGCCGAGGGAGGCGCTGGTAATATGATTTTGCCTCTGTCGACTCTGTCGACTCTGGGGGATGATGGCCAAGCTTGAGATGTACAGGTACCTAGGGATCTGTCTCGGCCGCACACACTCTGGTACCCCTCTCCATCCAACATTAGAAATGCTCCGAGTTTCGAGCCTCATGACCGTCCACGAGGCTCACTGACTATCACGCGTTGTAATCAAGAGCCCGTGGAGGGATGCTTGCCATTCGATGGGCCCGATGACCAATGGGGACCTATAGGTGCTCACTGCCACCATCCCGGCCATGGATCCAAGCAGGCAACCGTCACTTTGGATGTTTGCATAGGGTATGGTTTGATGCAGTGCTTGGAATCAAGATTGCTTCCTGCATAGGTACGCACATTGGCGCCAACCAGGCGCACAGTTTAACACGAGACAGAGCCGATATAGAGCCTGACGCGGCCCGGGCTGAGCTTGGGGTCTGCGTGCCGGGTTCAGATATGTATGCATTGGGTTTGTGTTTCCATCATGGCGTCTTTTCCCACCGAACCTCCCACCGACAGCCGGTGTTGGTGTCTTACCCGGTACTGTGCCACTCTTGCCGTCTTTGAGTACTTGGCAGACCTAGTACCGTGGGAAAGTCGCCGAGTGTTGGCCGGCCATTCGATAATTAACACCTTCCTTTAATTCGTCCGACGCCGCATCCAACCGCCCGTTTGGGGGCCAGAAAGAAACGGCTCCCTCACATGGTCCTGCAGTCCTACCACTGGCTACCTACCTTAGGCATCTCATGCTGCAAACCCTCTCATCAAAACCGCCCGGCCCAAGCTCTTCAACAACTAGGCACAACCGCGCGAGGTCTGGGTCGTCGGCCGTTTGTGGCTCAGATCAGGGGCGGCGAACCTCGGCCCCGTTCGGAGAGCGAATTAACCCCTGACGACCACCCAGACTAATCGGTACCGTGATGGAGAACATCACCTGTGTTTGGCACAATGACGGTTTCTTTCGTTGCCATTGGCGGCTCGATAGTAGTATCTCTCGGTAAGAATCCATCCATGACGACGAGCATGAGACTCCAATTTCGAGCTACGCCTTGGCCCCGTGGCTCAGACCGGTCAATGTCTTGCGGAGGAACACGTGTGTCGTGATGACCCTTTCGGCCGCTTTGGTGTCACGAGGCGGCAAGATGGGATATCCTTCAGAACAAACGACTTCTGTCGGCGTCGAGATCGGCGTGGCTGATGGACGAGTACTGGTACCTGACCTGTTACCGAGAACGGGTACCTCCCAAGACAGAACAACTGAGTGGTCTCCGGCCCATCCCCTCCTCCCTCTCCTTCATATCTCATAAGACCTAGGGGGGGAACAGCTGTCTAGTTTGAACTCCAGAGCCAGCATCCATGCCTCATTCCTCCCCCCTTTCCACCCCTCAACCTTCCACTCTCACCTACGATGAAGCTCCTCTCCGCTATTACCGTAACCTCGGCCTTGTTGCCTGGCTTTGTGGTTACAGGAAGGGCCAATATTCCCCGGCGCAAATTCTCTCTGTCGGCCACAGACCGATGCTTCACGCTCTCGTCCGGAGAACCGTTCATCTACCCTGCCGGACAGCTCGAGAATGGCCAGATCCGCCTTAACGGCAGTTATGGCACCGCCACCTTTATACTTTCCAGTGGCGCCATTCTCGACTCGGATGGTTTTGGCTGCATCGTCACTGGTAAGATAGCTGGCCATCCCAGCCGCCCGGCAGCAGTCGCTGACTCGATGCCCCCTGAGCAGACCCCCCAACAACCCAGTTCCAATGTGACCATGGCAAGACACCTCTCCAAGGCTTTTCCATCGACGCCTCCAACAACCTCCTCTTCAACGGTTCCCCGTCCTTTTGGGCCTGCCCGGCCACAGATACCGAGTACAACATCTACATCCACCCGGACTTTGGCCAGACAAAATGCATCCCCATCACGCTCAAGACCGGCGCCTGTGGGGCCCCAGCCGTGACAACAGTATGGGAGACACAAACTAAACTCACCACGACGGAGGTCGAGCAGACCATCACCGTCGTCGAAACGGCTTCGCCGACGTGCGCGACCGCAACCAGCAAACCACCACGCGCTCTCTCCCCTCGCAGCCCCGGCTCCCCCTCCTCCCTCGCCGACCCGCAGCACTGGCACCAATTCGCGCGCCGCGGCCTCGAAGAAGACTGGAACTCCATCCGGATCGCGACCAACGACGGCGGCGGCGACAGCGGCCTCAACAAGTGGGTGACAGTCAACGGCAAGCGCTTTTTCCCCATCGACGCCTCCAGCGTGGGCCTGCGCGTCGGCACATCGACCTTTTACGGGTGCACCGTCATCGTGGTCGTCGGCACGAAGGGCTTCTTCTTCGCGCACCTCGCCGAAGAGAGCGGCAGGGGGTGCCGGCCGCTCCAGACGGCCGAAGACACGTATGACCTGCTGATTCAGCAGATCGAGGGGTCTCCCTCGCTGGCAGATGCTGGCGGCTGGCGCGCGCTGTCGCCACCAGAAAACGAGGAGTGTGAAGGTCAGAGGTGGGCGGTGATTATGGGGAGCGTGGCGGACTCGAGTGAGGACAGGGGCCCGTTTGAGCTGAAGTCGCACTTTAATGAGGTCGCCAATGTGCCAAGGGCGAATATCTGGTATACCTACTATGCGCGCGGGAGGGGGCAGATGGAGGACCTCCCGGGGCCGGAGGGCAAGGCGATGGTAACGGTGGAAGATGGCGGGCACACGGAGGATGGAAGGCAGATACTGGTGCTGAGGGTGTACATGAACCATGACCAGCCGAGGCTGGAGCTGAGGTTTACCGCTGATGATGGGCGGCTGGTGACCGAGGGCGTGACCGTGGCGAAATCGGAGGGCACCACGGATGGTAATAAGGTGTATTAGTGGGAGTGGGTGTACTAGACTCAGTAAGGCTTGCTTATCAGGCTTCTCGGGAGGGGAAATAGTAGAGTGGACTCAGACGGAGAGGGGCTCGGTTCAGACTTGCAAACATACGGTAGACCTACGGTACCTTTGTCCCTTCTCTGTTTCCAACCCTTCCGGGTTATGCAAGCTGGAGAGAACTGACAACGCAGAGGACTCGATGAAATTCGCTTCCAGCCGATATACACGGCCCATGTACCTGGACATCGGAGGCCTTCGCCAGACCGTCGGTAGGGGCATGTGATTGTTCCCGGGTATTGTTACGAATGTGCGCATGGGGGTTTCCTGAACCGCCCATAGGACTGTCACGGTGACTTTCTGTGCCCTTGCTCATGGTGACCACATCAGGGTTAGGGGTGGTGTTTGACTGTGCCACAAACCCTCGTGCATAAAGACCAGGCCGCCCAGTTTCTGGTCTTGCTCGTCATCAACCCTCGATATCCCGTCTCGCAATCCTCCCATCTGTTCCCTCAACTAACCATCCTTCACAACGAGAATCCAGACCACACCTTGAGACCTCCCCATGGCCTCCCCTCCACCTCCCAATCCAACCTCAGCGCTTCTCGCCCTCCCCGCCGAGCTCATCGCCCACATCGCCTCTTTTCTCCCCAAAGAAGACATCCTCGCCCTCCGTCTCACCAGCCACCAATGCCAGCAAACCACGCAGCCCGCCTTTGCCTCAGCCTTCTTCTCCACCGTCGGCACCGACCTCTGCAAGCCCACGCTCGAGCGCCTCGCGCGCATCGCCCAAGCCCCCCACCTCCGCCCGCACGTCCGCACCGTACTCTTCGCAAACTACCCGCACGGCCCATGCCGCCTGCCCGGCACCCACCAACCCGGGTCAGGCTACTACTGGCGCCGTATCGGCCGGCCGTCGCGCGACCATCCGCCACCGCTCAACCCGGACCCAGAGGTCAACGAGGCCATCGGCCTCCTCCAAACCGCCCTCGCTGCGCTCCCCAACCTGCACACCCTCGCCGTCGACGCGGACCTCGGCGCCAACCCGGAACCCCACATCCCCACCGCCACGGGGCTCTGCGTGCTCGACGTGCTGCACCTCGCGCTGCTCTGCACCGCGACCCTGCCGCCGCTCAGGCGCTTCCGCATCCTCCGCGGCGAGCTCAGCCGGCTGCGGGCGCATGCGCTCGCGCCGCGGGCCCCGCTGGCGCCCGCGTGGGGCGCCAACCTCGTCGAGCTGGCGCTTGTGGCGCAACCCATGCCATCCCCGGAGGAGGACGCGGCGCATTGGGCGCTGCTGGCGGGCATGGTGCGGCAGGCGCGCGGGCTGAGGAAGTTGGTGGTGGCGACTACGGTGTGGGGGTTTTATGAGGTGTTGGCGGCAGTGTTGGAGGGGGAGGGGGAGGAGGGGATGCCGCCGGTGGAGGTGCTGGAGATGCAGTATATTATAGGGGTGAGCAGGGTGGATGTGCTGGCGCGGTTTGTGTTGCGGTTTCGAAGGTCGCTGAGGCATTTGTGTTTGATGTCTGCGGCGATGGGGACTGCGGAGGTTTGGAAAGGGGTGCTTGCGGAGTGGGCGGCTGGGTTGGAGTGCCTGCGGTCGTTTCAGCTGCGTGAGCTCAGGGTGACTACCTCGACCAATGGCGTTGTGTCGATTCGGAGGTCGCCGGGGGCCGGGATGCTGGTGTTTGATGGCATTACCGAGTGGGCAGAGAGTGATGGCGCGCCAGACGAGGGGACGGTTGAGTTTGCGTCGAGAGCAGTGAACGGGAAAAATGACTGCCTCACTGGTTTCCGGTTTGCGTGCGCGGAGGGGAGGGAGGAGAAGCGGGATGCGCAGAGGGTGTTGGGGAAACTGGCTAAGGTTGCGAGGCTTGAGTCCCCGCGTAGGCCTGAAGGAGCGACGGCATGGACTCGGATTGAGAAGCGATTTCTTATATGGGGAAAGCTGGAGGCGAATTACTCGACGGCGATCGTGTCGCCGGAGCTGGATATCCCTTAATTAGGTGGCAATGAGGAGCCCCGTTACTTGAGACAAAAGTTCCATACCACAATTTCCATGCCCCCGGGGAATGTCCTTTGGCCCGGAAAAGAGCGAGCTGATTCACTTCAACAGAGGGCGCAAACAGTGGACTGACCAGCTGGAACTTGCGCAGCCGGGAGGAGGCACCAGCCCGGTGAAGCCCATGGCAGCGGCCAGATTCCTAGGGGTCTGGCTGGACTGGAAACTCAACTGGAAGGCCCCACCTAGGAGAGGTAGAGCGGAAGCTGAAAACACAGAGCTACGCTTTGTCAAGGATTACGGCAAAAACGTGGGGCCTAGGGCTGGCCAAAGCACGAGAGGGACTGCCGACACGGACAGAGTCAAGGAGGAGGCCTGGAGAGAGAGGTGGCTCAAGGAACGAGACGGCCGGACAGCAACGAGGCCCGCAGATGACCTTGACCACCAGCACGAGACTCTGTTCCAAGACAAAACCCTGAGGAGACACGACGGCCTCAGCAGAGCGAAGAGTTCACTGTTGATCCAGATTCGAACCGGGGCCATAGACCTTCGGGCTTTCTTATTCGAAAGGAGAGTCCCAGAGGTACTGACGCCTATATGCGAGTGTGGAGAGGGGCGAGAGACTGTCGAACACCTTGTGATGTGGTGCTTGGCCCCACCGTTGACTCGAAGATGGGAGAGAGCCGAGGTCAGAACGCGAAGGGACTTTTATTCTGTCCTACAGGGAATCAGTCCCAAAGCTGCACGGCTAACGCGGAGGATCCTGGACTGGCTGATGGACTCGGGGAAACTGCCGATGTACGGTCTGGCCAGGAGGCTGGAGCTGGAGCTCGCAGTCTGATACCCTTTCCTTCGAAGGCCAAGAGGCCTTCCCACTTTGTGTTTGCAGGATCGTACACTGATCGTTTCCTTGATTGTCGATATGGGTTTTTCACCCGGCCCACGAGGGCGCGGTTTTCCTGTATAGTAAGTTGTTGAAGGTCCGGCACGCCCTAGGGCACAGCGGTGTAGGAATAATAATATTTGAAGTATGGATTCCAGACTTTCAGGCTGCGTTTTCCTATGTCCATACGTATAAGCAACATTGAAACCGTCACGACATAAGGTACCATTGAATTGAATGTCGCTTATACAGTACAGAACGGCCATCGCCCGTGTATAACCGCAACCGCTCCCCATAACATGTGCATTAATAAATCGCATAGCCAACTACAAGCCCCCACCAAAGAAGGCCGCCAGTCCCGAGAAAGAGGACCAGACAGCAGCCTGTTCAATGAACTTGGGGGGACACCACCTAAGCAAAGAGTGTCGGTCAGCCAACTACCTTAACCACAGAATGACCAAGGCACAGGCGAAATAAGTTTAGTGATCTTGCGAGGTTCGTCGATGACGCAACTAGAAAAAAAGGAAAAAGATATGGAGAAGGGGGGGGGGGGGCCGGTGAAAGACAACACTCACAAGGAACCGGGCAGCATCAGAAACTCGGCCCAGTATCTCCACGCGACGCCATATGTAAAAAACCCCGTCAGGCCCAGAAAAATGGTCGCAAGCAAGAGATATTCGGCCGAGCCCTCCCACGTAACGCCGTCCGTGTCTCCGTCAAAAATGGACTCGTCGCGTTTGATGTAGATCGGGATCAACAGCCAGCCGACCAGGGCGAGGGCGGGCGCGGCCAGCATGAAGTTGACGTGGTGCTGCATGTGCTCGCGGATCGGCTCGTTGGGGAAGCGGCGCCAAGTCACGCCGACAAAGACGGCCGACATCAGCTGCAGAAAAAGCTCGCTGACCGACGTGGCGACGTACGAGTCGGTGTAGACCCACTCCTCTTCCCCGCGAGGACCAGCGACGGCAGGCGCAAAGGGGAACTTCACCCTGTTGTTTTGTTCGTTCTCTCTGGATGAGCTTCCGCCAGTCCGAGAGGGAATCACTCGTGCCACCCAGCGCGACCATCTGGATTTGGGCTTGGAGGTGGCACTGCCGCCGGCAGCGCCGAGCTCGAAGTCGTCACGGACCCGGCCCCGTTTCTTTCCGCCGAGCATCATCCTCTCGTGGCGGATACGCACCGGCCCAACAAACAGGCGCAGCAGCCCGGTCCAGATTTGGTTGATGCGCGGCCGGGACGCGTACAGGGCGAAGACGTGCAGCATGCTGAGGTGCTCGTACCCGGGCGTCGCGACGACCAGACGCGACACGACGGCATTGGCGGCGACCTGCAGGCCAAACGAGACGAGCCAGGTCCAAAAGGGCGAGAAGCGGGTCGGCGAGCCGAGCACACCGCCCGTGAGATAGCGGACCAGCGGCCGGCAGCCGAGCAGCAGCACCAGGCCGGCCACGATGGCGTTGATGATTCCGAACAGCTGCAGGTTCTGCGCCCGATCCGGGCACTGCCCGGCCGTGACGTTGAGCGGCGCGATGATCCACTCGACAGGGATGGGCGGGAGGATGACGGTGCCGTTATTCTCGGCCGTCTTGTAGGGCCCCGTATTGCCACCGAGATACAGGGTGAAATGAAGCTCCGAGCTGACCTCGCCCGCCGGTCGCTTGGGCGTAGTCTGGAAGGTTGAAGTGCTGGAACTGCTACTGCTGGACCCGGAGTATATGATGATAATGCGTCGAGGATCCAGATACTGATACATTTTGACGTCTTGCAGTTGATTGATCGAAACGGCTTTTACATGTGGCCGTTCGAAGCGGGAAAATGGTATGGACTTGTACAATGTGTAAAGAGCGCAGACGGGAGCAAGCGCGGTTCAGGGAAGATGGCAACTCGAATCACACATTCGGGTGAAAATTAGGCCGCCGTTTCTCGCGATGCAACCCTCCACTCCTTCCTTCCACTCAGTGAGAACTCAGCCTCACGCAGGCTCACGGAGGCAGGTCCTTACATGCGACCCAAGGAAGAGGGCCAAGACTCAACAACGGCTCATCCCATGCCTCACTGTCGTGGTTTAGACGTTTCACTGCAGATTTTACTGGACCATCACTAGAACATGGAGGGGACTACAAGGTTCTCCCTATATGTCGAGTCTGATATGCCTGGTCAATGGCGTCTGATGTTGCCCCCGAAATATGCCTGCCACGGTGCTACTATGATTCTCTCTCATTGAATACTTCTGTCATCACCAGGGCTGCTCCGCTTGCTTACCACACAGGTCACAGGCAACTTTCCTCAGGCCTCGCATATTTATGTGCATTGAGCTATGAGATTTGGATTATGAGACCGGTGTTGGACTCCTTTTTGCTAGTAACAACCAAGCGTTGATCCTGGCTTAGGGTCCGGATCATTTACACTCCATCATTGTCACCAGCCCGTTGCAGTGTAATTGCACCTTACCCAAGCGAAGTCACGCTGAATTAATCCACGGAAGGCACTCGTGAAAATGGATCCAACCAAGGCTCCTCACAAATCAAATATTTGGCAACCAAATCAAATGCTTGGCAAATAAGCCAAATCAAATACGGCACTATATTTGGCAAATAAAGGGCCATATTGCCAAGCTTTACTCGGCTTATTTGACTTATTTGCCAAGAAATTGCCAGCCCACACCGCCCGCGCATCCATCCACGCACCTACTTGCGCATTCAGGACCGTTGTACGGAGTATCATCAGTGGAACCAACCGTCAGCCAGGCCAACCAACTACGTTCGTCAACGGTATGCCCCCTCTCTCTGCAGCCGCCTCTGCAGCCTCTGCAGGTCCTTGCGACACAGTTATCGCCAACTCTCATCCATTTCGAGTCCGGCCAAGCGTGGCAAAGCAGTTGGAAGCGTTTGAAACAGTCGACTGGAAGCAGTCATTCAGTCGGCCTTTTACCGACTGGCCAACAGTATCTTTCCGTGGGAAGCAGTACCTTTTGGAGGACTTGCTGATGAGAAAGAGGTCCCGGAAGTCATGGATTGCTAGCCCTGGGAGCTTCTTGATCGAGCCAACCGACGATGGTTCAACAGGAGCTAGTTGTTGGTGTTGCAAGTTGATACCGGAAGGTATCGCGCAGGGTTAGAGCTAGGTGTTATACCCCACCATTGGTGGGGTGGTTGTTTGAATGTAGATAAGATAACGCTGCCCCACTCTGGATCGTGGGATATCTCCCACCACTGCAGTTGCTGCTTGCAACTACCAGAGGACGACAACCTGACTTTTCCCCGAATACATGGCATTTGCCCTCTTTTCCCAGCATACGGCTCTTTTCCGTATCACAAGTACTGCGACAAGCTTTTTGCAGCGATTGCAACGTCGAACGCATCCCTCCACCTCCAAACCCATGGCCAATCGACCCGGCGAAGAACAACAACACGAAGAGACTGAAGATGCCATCAGTTTTGGAGTTGCAGCGGGCTGCAGCAACTACTGTAACGGGCTGGGCCCGGTGCGAGCCTCGGCGACTCTCGGC